TAATAAAAAAGCTTTAAGAAATATACCGTCCATTCGACTCGAGCTTTAAGCTATCGATAGCACGAGACTATAATAAATCTTTATAAGCAGCTAAGCAAAAGAGCGTTTCCTTAGCGGTATAGATTAAAGAACACCAAGTTATTTATAAATTAGCGAAGATAAATAACTTTTACGAAACGACGAGTATATTTGCAATAAAAGCATTTTTAAAAGCTATTAGCGAAAAATAGTTATTAACTTAAGCGTCGCTAAAGCTCGTAAAAGTCATTCGAAACGACGAGCTATTATTGCTTTAAAAGCGCACCCTTTACGATTATTTTAATTAATACGAAAGCTAAATCGAAGAAAAGACTAGCAATCCGAACTTTAACTTTTTTAATGTATTCGCTACTTTCGAAGATCAAACGATTCGCAGCATTTCCGGAAGTGATAAAGCTAACGATACTGCTTTTAAGCAATCCGGTAAACGCTTCGATAGCTTTAAAAGACCTGCTAAGGGTTTTAAGTGCTCGTGCTTTAAAAAGAGAAATTACTATTAAGACGCAATTAAGTGCAAGATCTTTCGCTATTGCTTTAACGGTCTTAACGAAAATAGATTCGCAAGGCCGAACCGAGATGATATCGTCGTTATAAAAAAAAGGCTTTAAGAGCTTAAGTTTAAAGCGCTTCGAAAGAAGATCACGAAAAAAGGTTAAGCATAAATTCAAGTCGATAAGATCGTCTTAAAAAGCAAAGAAAAGCAATCGAACGATAGCGATAAATCAAAATACTTTAAAAAAGTGTTAACAGCTATCATCGATCTTAAGCTTTTTAGCACGCTCGATAATCTTATTTTTAACGATTTCTATAGCACGGCTAATAATAAGCATTAGCTATTTAATAGCACTTTTCTCGATAATTACGGCGCTATTCATTTTATTAACGATAAAAATCTTTTAATGCTAAAGTCAATTTAGCGCTTCCGCTTAACCGACTTTATTAAAGCTAGAACGAATAGTCTTTTAATCGTCGAGCGAAAAACCAAAGTCTTTAAAAGAGCTTTAAATAGACCAAATAAAGCTAAGACGAAGGATTTGAAGTTGGAGAACGTCGCTATTATTAAAAAGTTTAATATTAATATCATTTCGAAAGCTCTTTTAAGCAAGGCTAGCGTATGGTACTCGAGATATAACGCAACTTTCCGTTACGAAAAAGTTAAAAAAAGCGTCGTATTAAGAAAGTTGAAAAGGAAGTTCAACTTTACGTTCTTTAAATATAAACTATTCAATTATTCTTTGCTTTAATTGATTCGTAGCTCTTTTTGCTTAATAATATTCTTTATAACTTAAAAGCGCTTGCAAATACGCTATAAATTTTAAAAGAGCAATATCTTTCGAGCTTTAAAAAAGGATTCATCGATACTTTAATATTTACGGATAAGTTATTTAAGCAAAAAAGCCTTCGAAGCGCTAACTTACAACGCTAAAAAGGTAAGACTTAAAAGAATTATTAAGATTGAATATAAAGCATATACTATTACGCACGCTTAATAAATCATATCTCGCCGTACGTTAAATAACAAAGCAGCTAAGCTATTTTATAAGATCGCTTAAAATCTATTCGACTTTCTTAACGGTTTCGAAAAGAATAAATAATTATTAATAATTAAAAATAAATACAATAAGAAGCTATTCGGCTTTATATTAAAGAATAAATTATAATTAACGGTTATAAAAGTGCTAAAGGAATTTAAAGCATAAACGAAACGTAAATACGGTCTTTTAATAACGGTTATGCGCTATAATAACGATTCTTTAGTAATCGTAATTAACGTAATCGGCTTTATCGAATATTAAAAATAAGCGAAAGAAGTTAAGATCGAGTTAAAGCTTTTATTATCTTTTAATTACGAACTTAATAAAAGAGCTAAGAGGGCTAAAAGAAAAGTAATAAAACGGTTTATTAAAATGAAAGTAAAAGCAAAGCTTTTAAAGAAGCTCTAGCTTGAAACTATATTAGCCGCTATCTACTTTTACAATATAATACCGAAAGCGAAAAGCTTTATAAAGAGTCCGAATGAAGTGCTATAGCTTTAATTCAAGCAATATTTTAAGTAATACGATCCGGCGATCTTTATACGGATCGACACCGATTTAAAACCAAATTATAACGGTTTGATTGCGTATAGCGCTCGTGCGTACTTAATAATCAAAGACCGAGAAGCTCTTCGCAATAAAAGAGCTTTTAAAATCAAACCGAAAAGATATATAAGCTACTTAATTAAATATATAGCTTTTAATATATACAAGGTCTATGTTCTTATGCTTTATAAAGTGATTATTATACGCAACGTAACGTTCGATAAAACTTAATTCTATTTTAAAAACAAAGAAAAATCGGTCGGCTAATCGATTAACGAAATCAAGAGCATTGTTATTAAACTAAAGGATATTAAAGACTTTAATTAAACAAAAAACGCTTTATTTAATATAAAAAACGTTATAAAAGATCGCTTAAAAAAGACGAATACAATTGATATAAAAGGTGAGCAGCCGTTAAACCTTATAAAAGTTAATTTAAAAAGATTTAATTAAAGCTTAAAAGATGCGATCTTATTTAATCCGAGCGATGCACAAACGTTAAAAGCTTTAACTCTAATTAAAGACCTTATAAATACGTTTATATTAAAAGCAATTGCTTTACGAGACGATTCAATAAACTTTGACGATTCGAACCATATCGCTAACCGTCTCGCTAGCTCTTTAACTAAAAGCAAAAGCGAAAGTGCTTTAAGATTGCTAAAAGCAAGAAGGAGCATCGTAAACGAGCAAAAACCTGGCCTTAATAAAAGAGCGCGCAAATCATACCCTTAAGTTATTATTTAAAGCCGAAGCTCGGAGAGCTAAGTTATAAGCCGACTAACGAAAGCTTTTACGTTAACAACTAGCGGAGATTCAAATCGAACAATTAAAAAAGAGCTTTTAGACCTTTTTAAAGCGAGCATTAATAATAAGAAATTGGACTATAAACACTTTAAATAAAATTCCGACTTTAATAAAAAGCACTCACTTATTAATAGCCGTATTAAAAAACGCGCGAAGATATACGCAAGTATTAATAAGCTTTTCTTAAACAACTCTTTCGCTGATTCGAATCGCTATTCGCGCGTTTTAGATTTTATATCGACTTTTTAAGCTAATAGCGATCTCGTGCGCAAAGATAGCAAAGATTACGAAATATTGCACGCTATTATAGCAGCCGCTACTTCGTTTAAGCTATTATCAAAACAGCTTAACTCGTAAGAACGAAAACATTTAAAACCTTTTACTTATTAAAAAGAGTTATAACGACACTTATATAGCAAAGAGTTTAAAGACGGAGCTCTTATAAAGCTAAATAATCTAAAAAAAAAGAACTGCTAGAAAGTGATTCTTGAAAGCGAAGCTAAATCAAAACCTATACCTTTTAAATAAGTATTTATATATAAGACTAGCTCGTCCGAAGAGATCGTAAGGTTTAAATCGAAGATTATAATTAAAAGCGACCTTTAAGACGAATCTATTATCTATTTAACTTACGCTGCTACGCTAATAGCTAGATCGTTTAAAATAATGATAGCTATAGCAGCTGAATTTAATTTAAAAGTAAAATAATTCGACGTCGTTAACGCTTTTATTAACGTTATAAGACATACGGATAGCGTCTTAATTACGTATTATCTTTTTAACGGTTTTAAGCAAAAAAATATGCTCGTAAAGGTCGATAAAGCTTTATATAAACTTAAAGACTCGCTAGCTTTATAATATTTCGACTTTATAAGCATACTCGATAAATTAAAGCTTACTTTATTCGATAAAGAACCGTGTATTTTTACGAATCTAAATAAGACGATCTTTATAGCGTTTTACGTAAACGATATTCAAGTCATATATTATCATTTTAATCTTTTTAAAGCGCAAGAGATCATTAACGGTCTTAACAAAGCGTACAAGATCGAAGCGATAAAAGATATTAAATAGTTTCTTAATATAAAAGTCGCTCGAGACCGTTAGCGAAAAACGCTAACGCTTATATACGACGCTTATATTAAAAAAATAGCTAAGAAATTCGAACTTACGAACGGACGCTGCTTAATAACTCTATTACCGTTCTATAACTTAATCAAAAATAAAAAGATAACTTCGCGGAAGCAAGTAAAAGAGTATTAAAAGAAAGTTAGATCCGTGTTATATATAGCGATTATGCTACGCTTAAATATAGCTTTTGCAGCCTCTTAACTTTTTTATTTTAGCATTAATCTAAGCGCGAAGCACCTCCGAGCTATAAATTAATGTTTGCGATATCTATTTAGCTCGCGCTTTAAAAGTATTCAATATAGCTAGTTTAGCAAATCAAAGCTAGTAATAGCTTTTAACGCTTCTTACGCCGATAACGAAAAGATAAAGCGATCTTTTTAAAAATATATTATGTTTTTGTTCGAAAGTGCGATCTTTTAAAAAGCTTTAAAGCAGAATACAATTATTATATCATCTATTAAAGCGGAGCTTCTTAGCATAGCTTTTATAATAAAAAAGATTATAGCGCTTTAACGGTTTTTCAAAAAGCTGCACCTTCGTTTTACGGCGCTTTAAATAATCTATTATAATAATCAATAAACAATCAAGCTTATAGCTAGTAAAAAAGAGCGTATCTTTATTAAGCTTCGCTACGTCGATATTCATAATATATAGCTGCGCTAAAAGCACTTAAAAAGGAGCTTTTAAATTCAATATCTTTTTATTAAAAAGATGCACGCTAACGATCTTATAAAGAACTTGATTCGATAAAAGTTTAAAAGCTTTATTAAGCTTTTAAATTTACAAGACGCTCGCGCGTTAATCGAAAAGCTTTAATAGCACGCATGTATTATTCACTTATTATATTTTATTTTTTTTTATTTATACGTGATTTAAAAGAAAACATCTATTTAGCAATCTTAACCGTCATTTTATCTTATCTTACACGCCTTTACCCTTCGCCTTTTATAATAAAAGATTTATTAAAGCTTTTAGCAATCTTTTCACTTTAGCTCGGCGCTCCGTAAGAGTTATAGCAACGGCGGGCGCTGCCGCGAGAGCGGCAAGCGCAACGATTAGCGCAAAAGAAGCGACGACAACAAGTGCGACGAGAGCGACGGGAATTACGAAAGCGACGAGAGCAGCGGAGGCGACGAGAGCAATAAAGGCGGCAAGCGCAAAAGCTGCTATAGCAACAGATTAAAGCCTTTGCATAAAGTCCGAAAGGAAGTTCTAATTAAAAAGAGCTGCTTAAATTAAATTATTTCGAAAGTCAAAGAGCTTAACTTACGAAAAGGTGATATGCTCGAAGCGCTCCGCGTCACCGGACCACGGTTTGCTGCTACAAGACTATTCAATTTAATAAAAGCTATATTCAAATTAAAAGTCTTAAAAGCAAAAGCAAAACTTATAAAGCTATCGAGACTACTTTCAAAACCTCCACTTCCACTCGCTAAACCGCTCGGACTATTAGCAGCACCTTTTAAAAAAGCAGCATTTAAAGCGAGCTATTATCGCATAGCATTTCGAAGACTTTAGCGAACTCTTTATATAGCACTATTATCTTTAGCGCTTACGAAGTTATCGAAAGCGGTATTAGCAGCGGCAAAAGCAGCGGTACAATTGCTATAGCTACTTTTAGCATACTAAAGACAGCGTATAACGCTCGTATCGCAATTATAGCAGTCTTTATTAAACTCCGATGTGATCTTATTATTAATGCACTTGATGCACTTTAAAGCCTTGACGGTCGTTAATATAAGCAAGCGCTTAATAAAAGGGTCTAAAGGAAAAGGCGAAGCTTCGGAAGTAAGAGTGCGTAATATAACCGCCGCAGCCGCCGCAGCTGCAGTAGCAGCAATAGCTAAAGCAAAAAAAGGATTTTCTTAATAATCAATATAAATATATTAATCTATTAAAAGCACTTACTTTTAAACGGCCTCGGCCGCGCTTAACGATTCTATTAAACTAAGTTACTTGCTTAAATAGCATTGTATAAATAAATAAAGATTAAGTGTTTATTATAATAAAAAAGAACGCGCTTTTACTTATATAACAACGCGATAAGGACGGCGCTAAAGACCTCCGCTACGTAATAAGACCGACTTAAAAAAGAATTGCATTTTTAACTAACACTTAATCAACAATAACAACCGCTATTTATTTATTTAAATTGCGATGATAATCTCTTTTATTTATATCGAATTTAAAAAGCTTAATCACTTATTTTTTTTCTTTTTTGTTTGCTTGCAGCTTAGCAATTACGCTGCTAACTTAAAAGGTATATTATGCGGAACAAGCATAGTTCTACCTAAGCTATATATAACATATCATATGACCTCGCTTAATAGCGCCCTTAGCATACTAGAGCTCTTAAGTACATATACATAGATCTTGACGAGCTTCCTAGATAGGAAATATCAAGCTTCATTTAATCTACAGAATCTCTTCTTAATTTTAGTGCTGATAAGCATTATACAAAGCAATAGCAGTTATACGTTAAAAGAAAACTCGTTAAAACTTAAAAGCATTCCGGACAAAATCAGCTTTTATTAAAGATAGCGTGCAAATTTCCGTACTTAACTTTAACAATTCGAAAAAAAGATTTAATATTTTCGAACGTATCGATAAGCTTTTTAAATCTTTTAATAAGCTACGTATCGATAAAAAAGATATTAAAAGTATAAGAATCGCTAAAAGCGCGCTTAAAAGTACGAATACTATCGAGCTAAAGCTTTAGCTAATAACTCGAATAGCTTTAGCGATCTTAACGATAATCGACGAAAAAAAAACGAAAGAAATTAGCAAAAAAATCGAAACTACGAATACGAAAAAAATAAGAACAGCTTTTTTAAACTATTAAAAAGATTCGGAAACGGACTTTTAAAAGACTTCGAATTCGGAAATAAGCTTTTTAAAGACTTTAAAAAAAGACGGACTATTAGCAATTATATTAATAACCTTTTACCGATCAAACTATTAATCAAGCATAGCACACTTGCGTACGGCATTTTAAGCGCTTTTAACGATAATAAAGATGATTTCTTTAAACTAAAAATAATAAACCTTTACTTAAAAGCGAAAGAATTAGCTTTATTCGCGCGAAGCTTTCTTAAAAAGCTAAAGTATTTAAAACTCGACGATAACTTTAAAACTTAATTAAAGATTTTTATTAATTAAGCAAATCGATACGGTTTAACTTCCGACGATTATTTAATAGCGTTCTCGATTATGCTTATAAAAGAAGCTATAACCTTTTATTATAATTACGTTATCAAAGCTAAGCTTTCGACTTTTAAAGCAAACGCTATTATAATAAAAGACTACTTCGAGATTAATTATTAGCGGCAAGCAAAATACGATCGTTAAAAAGAAATTTCGCTAGATTTAATTAAAAAAAAGAATTTAAAAACTTCGCTTAACGAGTGCTTCGAAAAGCTCGTTAAAAAGCTTAAAAGGATTTAAAGCTTTTTACGATTAAGTTTAAAAAATAATCGAAGTCTTATTAACAAGTTATATTTAGCTTATAAAAACGTATTAAAGATTACGATTGCACGAATAAACTTTGCTTTTACTTTTACCGCGGCAATTGTTAATATTCGTCGAGCAATTGCGTTTGCTATTAAAACCTTTCGACTTTCTGTTAAAGCTAAAGCTTACGCGAGCTTTAACGAACTACACGATTACATTTGCTTTTATAACACTTTAAAAGCTGACTTCGATTTAAACGAAAAATACGAATGCTTTATTTAAGACCGCTAATACTTCAGAAATAAAAAAGCTATTAAAGCTATTAAAAGTAAAAAAAATTATTTTGTTTGTAAAAAACTAAGTTGCTAAAGCATTAACTACACTTTCGACGAAAGAAAAGCATTCGTCGTTAAGTTCTAAGCTTTTAAAGACGTAAAAAGAATAACGAAAAGCAAATTCTTTTAATACGTAATATCGATTAAAAGCTTGCTATTTGTATTTACAAAAGAATTCAATCAATTTATCGCAAGCTTATTAAACGAGCCGTCCGAATCGAGCAGCTACGTTAATATATTAAAAGGTTTTATAATTACTTACGGCACTTTTAACGTTAACGAAGTATACAAACAATTAAAGATTTAAACGGCATTTTACGCTTTTATTAGCTAAATAAAGACTTAAAAGATGCTCGAGCAAGATCCGCGTATGCTCGCGAATAAAGCAAAGACTTATATAACTTTTAAGTACTTTAAAAACGTGTTTATAAGCTTTATGATTAATAGCGGAGCAACTAATTTCTTTACCGCTAGCTTGCTTTAATTACGAGCATTTTAAAAAAGATACTTCGAAGTTTAATTAAATATATCTCGAGCAAAAGAAAAGTCCGTTAAGTACGAGATCGGCTTTACTACTTTTATTAAAGCAATTACCTTAAGTACTCTTTTAAGTCAAGTAGAGTTCTACGTTATAAAAAGCGACGTACCTTTCTTATTTTTATTAGCTAATATAAATAAGCATAAAGTGATTTTAAATAACTTGCGGAACGTGCTAGTTTAAAAGAAAAGAGAAATACTAATAATAAAGATGTTTAAGCACGTATAAATGCTATTAAGTAAAAAGCACGCTGCTATTTATTATAATACCGAAAGCGAAACCGTTTATTACTACTTTACGGAAAAGCAATTAAAGATTATTTATAAGCGTTTTAACTACTTTTTAACAAGTCGATTTACTGCCGTTTTCAAAAAGGCCGAGTACGAATTTAAACGAGATTTGCTTTATAACATTTAAAAGTTTTATTATTATTATTAAGTATTCGGACGTTCTTTAAAGAAGTTTAATATTAAACTTAAAAATAATACTGATTTTAATAACACGGTATACGTCGATGTAATGCATTTAAACGGCAAAAACGTATTGCACGTCGTTTACGACTTTATTAATTTTCAAGCCGCTACTTTTTTTAAAAGCATATCCGTATAACACTTACTTAAAAGATTCAATCGATATTAAATCAATACTTACGTCGGGCTTTTTATAAACGTAATATACGATTCCGAAACCAACTTTAATTTAGCGACGTTCCGAAAGTATTTTAAAAGTATTAAAAGCATTTCGAAGCAAATGCTTATAAAAGCTTATCATAACGTCGAGCTAATAAAACGCTACTACGTCTTTATACGACGCGCTTTTAAGATCGTTACAAAAGAGCTTTTAAAAGCCTTAAAAAAAGACCGGCTTTAAATAGCTATTAAAGCTATTAACGATATAGTTAGACCTAATAGCTTAGTTCTTATACTCTTTGTTTTTAAGACTTTATTAAAGCTAATAGAACAAGATCGACTTGCTACGTTTACTTAAAAGCGTACTGCTATTATTAATAAAACTATAAAAGAAGTACGAAAATGCTACGCAACGAAGCAAGTTAAAGACGCGCTTAAAAAAAAGAATAGATCAATTACAAAGCATATTTTAAACTTCTTTATTAGTTTACGAGTACTTATATAACGAGAAAATCAAAAATAAAAAAGCCTTTTTCAGCTGCTTAGCAAGCAAAAGCATACGTGCATAATAGCATATCCGAAGCTTACGGAATTCAAGTCAACTTTAATAAAACTTTATTATTTTAAAGTTGAAAAGCTATTAAAAGAATTGCAAATACTTAAAGTAAAAGTAGAAAAAGAAGTAAAAAAAGATTAAAGCGAAAGCGAAAAAAAGCTAAAAATACGAAATTCGCTTAAACCTTAATATTCGCTTAATCTATTAAGATCGCTTAATATAAGAAGCTCGCTAAGATCAGCAAACAGCCTTTTCAACCTTTAACTTATTAATTCTTAAAAATTAATAATATTAATAGTTTAAATACTTTATTAAAAGTACGATCTTAATATCTCGACCGTGCTTGACGAAAAAGAAAGCGATTCTTACGTTTTATTTATTAAAGACTTCGAAGTGTTTATTATCGATAAAAAACGCCGAGATTATAAGCTCTTAATTAAGCTACGAGCCGAAAGAATTATTAAAAGCTTTAAAGCATCGTTTTAAAAGTCTAAAGCAAAAGAATTAATAAGATTAATAATTTAAAGTATCTTTTAAATGATCTCGAGCACCGATTTACGTATTAAAAGCGCTAAGATCTTCGAATCTAAGTTTGTTAATAAGATTAAAAGCAAAAGAACACTTACGCTATACGAAAAGTCTCGTATAATAATCTAAGCTTTTTAAGATAAAAGCAAGACGAAAGTATTTATCGAGTTATTTACGGTACAACGAGCGGGCTAAAAACTCTATTATACTTTAGCTTTTTTTTTAATAAAAGATTACGAGTGTCAAGTTTATAACAAAGATATTACTTAAGCTTATACTTAATCAAGCACGAAGCTTATCCGAATAATCGTCGTACGACTATTTAAAAAGATCATTTATCGATTTTCTTTTAACACTTTATTCTTTATAATTAGCCTTTTATATAAGATCTTCGAAGCAAAAACGCATTAATATAAGCGTTTTTCAAAGCATTTCACGGATAACTTCGAAATAAAGCAATCGAGCTTTAATTCTTGCTTTTTTATATCAATTAATAAAGATCAGTTAAGAATAGCTGCTTTATAAACGAATGATATTCTTATAGTTATTAATCCAGTTATAAAAGCAAAAGAAAAAAAAGAGCTGGTTAAATTTAAGCTAAAGAGCAAGAAAATAAAGATCTTTATATACGCCGAACCGATGATTTTCAATAAATGTAAGCTATCTTTAGATAAAAACGGGTTCGGACTGTCAATTAAGCAAAAAGAGCAAGGTGAAAGGCTTATAATAATTAAGCTCGATTCAGTTATACGAGCTAAAAAGTACTTAAAGCAACGTATTCGAAAAGCGTATTTAACTATTATTTGCTACTTAAAAGCATCTTGCGCTTTATCGATAGCTGCTTAATACTAAGAACCGAAGGACGAAGACTATAAAGCTTTTAATAAAGTGATCTAATAACTAATCGATTACTTAACTCGAAAGATCTATTACGTGCTTTTAAACTTAAGAATAGCGAAGCTTTTCGTGTTCGTAAACGGAGCGTTTGTTAATAACGCTAATCTTAGCTCTTAAATCGGTTTCGTAGCTATCTTTAATAATAAAGCTTACGTAAGTGAAAACGAGTTCACTTTAACGAATAACATTTTTTATTAAATGTTATAGAAATGCAAGAAAGTGACAAAGGCGGTATTAGCCTTTAAGCTATACGCTATGTTTTTAAGTATCGATATAATTATTATTATATCGACCACTTTTACTTAAATCATAGCTTAGCTAAAAATCTTTAATTTCCTCGTAATTGTGTACACTAACTCTTATTCGCTTTACGAGTATATAATAAAGCTAAGAACTACTAAAGAGAAACGCCTTATAATCGATATTATAGCTATTCGAGAGTCATACGAAAAGCGAGAGCTCTTTAAAATACGCTAGATCGAAAGCAAATCTAACCTTGCTAACGCTATGACTAAAATCGAGGCTAATACTTCTTTGCAAAAGCTAGTTCTAACTAATACCTTAAAAGTGCAAGTGGATAAATAAGTAAAAAAGCCGTTGTAAAAAAGAAAGAAAAGAGATTGTGTTTTTTTTATTTATTTAATTACTTTTGCTTGATTACTTTCCTTCTTTTTTCGGTCGATATAATAATTAGCAAAGCATTGCTTGCTAAAGAAAGAGTTACCGATATCGGTATTTCTATATCGACCTTAGCTAATAATAATAGTAGTAATAGTAGTTAAAGAACTCATTCGTGAACTATAATTCACGAGCCACTTAACATGCTTCGCTTAGCATATCAGCAGTCAAAGGACCTTCAACTTGACTAGTAAAACTATTAGCTAACTAATACACGTGATTCCTTCTAATCATATAAAAAGAATCAGCTCCCTTAAGCCTTAAGAAGAAGACAGAATTCAAATACTTTATCAACCGAGTGTTTTGCAATTGCAAGTACTTTAACGACCTTACGAAGTTACGAATATATTCCCAATCGCTTAAAAGCAATCCAACAGTAAGAAAGCTTAAATTCTCTTCACTTCGTCTTCGGTTAGCTTGCGAATAATATTTTCGTTAAATCCGAAATCTTTTTAAATCGAAAAAGTCATAGCTCTTTTTGATTTTCGAAAGCTTTAACGTAAAGCCGTTAAGTTAAGTTTAATAGATATCGATTAAAGTATAAATGTATTTCGAAACAGATACGAAAAGAGAACGAGAATAATAAAATAATATAAATGTAAATAAATAATAAAAATAAAATAAATACAATTTGTAATAAATATTAAATACGTAAAGAAATGTTATAAAGATATAAAATCTCGATGCGTCGAAAGTGATTTATTAAAAAGTCGAGTATCGATCGCGTCGAGCTAAATAATCGAAACCGAATCGATATATTAAATGATATTAATAATACGTTTGATTTTCAAACGTAAGATCCGAATAAGCGAAAGAGTAATTGCCGAGATTAAATGTATCGAAATAAAAACGAAGTCGAGTAATAGTTAAGCTTTTATGCAAGCATATAGCTTGCTTTTAATATAATACGATACCGAAACGGTTTCGAATTGTATAACACTTATTTCCGCTCGTCGTATCTTTTATTTGCTAAAGCGAAAGATATTCGAAAGCAATTCGAAGTTTTTATACGTAATTTCCGTTACGAAGTAAGTGTTGAATTTTTAATCTTTTAAGCTTAGCGTAGTATTTCCGGTACTTAGCTATTGCTTACTCTTTTAAAAAAGAAAGAGTAGTAGACTCGTATTAAAATCGATGTTGAATCGAAAGAAATAAAGTATATTAAACGAATAGTATTTCGAGCGTATCGCTATGCAAAGTAGCTTAAGTAAATAAAACTTTATAGATACCGAATTGAACTTTAGCTAGCTTGATCTTCGAACTAAAGTAACGACTTTTTAAGTAGTACTTATCGAGTATATCGAATAGCATGCTCGACGAATACAAATCGAAAGAAGATCGCTTTTAAAGCAATAGCTTTAAAGCTTATATGCAAAAGCACTTGACTGTTAGCTTAGCATATATCGAATACTTTTTAAAAGAATACCGTAAAAGCATATAGTCAATAGCTTAGCGTATAACGTAGACTCCGAATATATAGCTTTTCGCAAAAGAAGCAAGTTTAAAAGAAGTATAAAGACCAACTTTTGATTCGATTCTTTGCGTAAGTCATTAAATATATATAAAAAGAAAGAGCTTTGATATATACTCAACGTTAAATCAAGAGATATATATAAATATAACTATAATAGAATCGTAAGTAAATAAGAAAAAAGAAGGAAGACGATCGATGTGACAGCCTGCCTTGTTACCTGCAGTCAGCTGATCACCCATTCAGGCCTAGCGCCTGTGGCCATGTATATAGACCTTCTTGAGCTCTCCTGAGCTTCCTGTTTTCCTCTCTTCACTTTGTATTCTAAGGTCAGAATTCATCAGTTCGTCACATTATACAAAGTCCTTCGATTAAGTCGTCGTATTACAGCTTATTGTTATTAATTATTGCTTATTGTTATAGATTATTGCTTATTGATTATTATTAAGAACGGAGTGAGTTACTTGTTAGGTGCTCCACGGTCTTCTTTTATTGCTTACAGATTATTGTCTTTTTTACGACCTCACCTCTTCCTTAGCTCTTCCGACCTAAAAGAGCCCCCCTCTCAATTTTTGCACTTCGGTTGCAAGACGAACTCTCTTCCTCACTCTTTTCCTGGCGTTTCCGACACTCAAACGCCCCCCCCTCCCTCCATTTCCACCACTATGTCCTCTCACGAAGACGACGGCCCTTCCCCCCTTACGAGAATCGCTCAATTAGAGTCTCTCGTAGAGCAATTACGAATGGCCCTTCGCTAGCGCAAATGCGTCCTTCCGGATCCCGATAAGTTCAATAATACGGTCCTTATTCAACGCTTCAGTTTAAGACTTCGGAAGTTCGGAATTCAATTACAATATCGGTATTCTCGGACCAGTTAGCTTTCGCTTACGGTACGGTTCAGCGATAAAATGCTAGGCTCCCTTCTCTCACGGCCCAGCTCCTTATCGGCGGTAAAGCTTTTGGCAGACCCACTACTCAACTCAATTACGTTTACGGTACTTCGATACGGCTCTCGGTCTTCATTCAATCAATTTGAACTCAATTATACGGACTCGCTCAAACAGCCAAATTGACGCTCTTTAACGTATACCGAGTACGCGCACGTCATTCAGCAACCTGAACGCTTTTCCGGCTCTCTCGGCCTTCCTAGCTTTTCGGTTCGTTTTTACGGGTTCCTTTTTCCTTCCTTCCGGCCTTCGGCTTTTCGGCTTTTCGGCTTTTCGGCTCTTCGGTTCTTCCGGTCCGTTTGGTTTTTCTCCCGGCCCGTCCTACGGATTCTCTTCGTCTCTCGGCCCTTTTCGGTCCCTTAAAACCGCTTTCGCACGGCCACGGGCCCTTCTCTCTTTCGGCGACTTAACCGACCTCTCGGTACTCAAGTATTTGCAGCACGTCATTTGCAGCTCGAGCACTTGCAATACGCTTTCGGTTCTTTCGGCAATCAAACAAAGACTTAGCTCTTTAGAAGATCGAAATCCCACCCTTTAGCATGCTCTTCACAACTCCCTCGATCAGCAAGCTTATCAATCTACCCGTTGTAGTGCAATCAATTTGGATTGCTAGGTGCTCTTTCCTTTTAGCTAAGCTTTGAGTTCTTTTCGAGAGAACAAAGGTTTAAGGGGGTTTGATTCAGACGAAAAGGAGGATATTTTAGCGGATTTAAAACGCTTTTAGAAGCTACGATCGGTAGCTTCGGCGTATTTTTTGGTTTTTTTTAGCAATTCCACCCGTGAACCATAGTTCACGACTGAATTTTTTTATTTTTTCCTTTATCTATCAGATACTTTTGAGAGAGCTGGGACAGCTCTTTAAGGGGGTAGTATGACAGCCTGCCTTGTTACCTGCAGTCAGCTGATCACCCATTCAGGCCTAGCGCCTGTGGCCATGTATATAGACCTTCTTGAGCTCTCCTGAGCTTCCTGTTTTCCTCTCCTCACTTTGTATTCTAAGGTCAGAATTCATCAGTTCGTCACAATCGAAAGACATTCGAATATGTGCTATGAGTACGTGTATTGTATTGTGTAATAATATAATGCTAGTTCAAGAAAGAACCAACTACTCGTCTATATAAAAGCTTGCACGTGACCTAACCACGTGACCTAACCACGTGCTTAGCAAGGCTAGGGCATACAGCGCACCTACGTAACAAAGGTGCCTAGCATCAGTACTATATATATGGACAAAACAAATACAAAGCCGCAACTCCACCACAATAGTGATAGAAGTAAGTTAGTAGGAATTGCATTTCGAGCCATTCTTAGGACCCTTCAAAAAGTGGTGCAGGGTGCATCAGAAGTTAAGAAGTTAAGAAGTAAACAATCTAGCGAGGATCCCTAAGCGAGGGCCGACGCGGTCCATAGTCTGTCTAGGTACCTGACAGAATCCAATCCATCTGCTAAGAGCAGTTCCTTCCGATCAGAGCCTTTCCAGGTAAGTATCTGTATCTGTGAAAGAGTAAAGACGCGGTACAACCACCCCCCACCCCTCCCCTCCCCCCCCCCCTAAAAAAAAACCAAATCATGCACTTCGGCAGCCCTTGATACCAGAAATAGTAATCTGATAACCTTTATGGTGAATCCATATAGTAAGCCATCGCCTGTTGGTCTTTCCGAGCGCATTGGTACCTATCTATCGCATCTCGCGAACTATTCTACAATCCTAGCTGAAAGCTGACGGGGATAGGATCGCCGAATCTTGGTAATGTGGCAGCGAGATGGTCTGCTTGGAAAATTGCATGTCTAATATTCGTTCGGAAACGCAGCAGCAACCTCTTGTATTTCGTCCCCTATGTTCGCGAGTTCTAAGAGATCGAAGTTGGTGGGCACTTCAGTCAAGCTAGGAAGTTGGTGTAATAAGCCTTAGCCCGAAGGATCTTAAGCCGCAAAGCCAAGGGTCCTCCCCGTCTCACATCCCGTTCGACCCGCTACTCCTGTTAACCAGCTGCAGCAATAGTTCTTTCATCTCCTTGATCTCCTCCCTCAAGACCTTGACTTCGGTAGTCGCCTGATCCTCCTCGATGTTGGGTTTTACCATCGCAACCTTCTTGTCCCACCCCTCGCCTTCAAAGTCAATCTCGCCAGCCATCTGCTCCCACTCCTCAACCGTGTCATCGTCCTCGTCTCCCCTCTTGCGATTACTCCTCACCTTATTCGCGCTTCTTGTCTCAAACCAGGCGGCTATTATCAACAGCGGGGAATACAGAGTAGCCATAACGTAGTCGTTTATCTTGGCGTATGTCTTACGCGGCAGCCACCACTCAAACGGAATAACCAAGCAGAAGATTTCCACAAGGTTGAGCGGTGCAATAAACACGTTCTCATCTGGCGCCCTTACGAACTGCATCGTCTTCTGCGCGAACAAGGCCATATACTCGTCGATCGCGTTTCCAGTGATATCTTCGTATGCCGAATTGTATAACGCAATCAAGATATTCAGCAGGACGACCATGATAAGGAAAGCGAAGATGTAGTAAAGGATGATGCCAAAGGGGGGCGCGAAGTTGTCGAAGCCAGAGAAGTCGGGGGATTGCATAACGGCGTTGGCCATGGCCTGCAGGATGAAGGTGGTTGCGTCTTTGTTCGTGTCCGCGTTATCCAAACCAATGAAGGCTTGCAGGAAGCCGATTATGATAACGACGAGGAGGGCAAAGAAGATGAGAGATTCTTTCATCATCACTTTGAGCACGACGAGCATGGCACCGAAGAAGCGGATGGAGTCGAGATAGAGGAGGAGACGCATCCAGAACATTGGGGCCGAGAAGGCTGTTTGCTCACATAAGCATTATTTCTCGAAGTGTTCAGAATTCGGATCACTTACCCAAGAAGTTGTATGACAGTTCGTTGAAATCCTCTCTACTACCTCTCTTCCCATCTTCATTCAATGGGTGGCTTAGCGCGATGAATCTCGTGACCAAAGAAGTAGTGAGAAGCGCATAAAGCACCATATTGAAAATGTTCCAGAATCCAATGTAGAATCGTCCAACCTTCCAGAACTTGGAGAACTCGTCGCAGATGAACCCTAATGTGAAGATATACAGGATGATTTCGACGATATCCAAATCTCCGGTAGGATTGACCGTGTTGATGGCACCAGTATAGAGAGCCAGATAGATGACCGAGAATACTACTTGAGTAGCGTTCTGGTATACCGGCGCGCGCATACGGTCAGGGTCAACATGAGTCCAGTATCTCGTGTCATCCTTCTGCTTGTACTCAATGAAGCGGCTGGGATCGTTCTCGTCTTGAATAAGCCACCCGCGCCACAGGTAGTTCACGCACTTCTGATATCCTGAGGAGCCCGTAACTCGCAGAGCATGCAAATCAACGGCACGTTCGATTACATTGGCTGGTTGGGTTTGCTCTCCATCAATCATGACCGAGTAGCGCTTGAGTAGGATATCTTGCAGCAGGTACTCCTGATCGTCCTCTGTCTCGATCCTACTCTTCATTAGCCTCTTTACACACGAAACCAAATTCCATCCCTCCTGAGGGGTGTACCCACAACTGCTTTGCAATGACCTCGCACGCCACGGCCCGAACATTATGCAGATCTGCATCCCACAGCTCCAGCATCGCCTGCTTCTTGAACCACCTCTTATTGACCACTATACCAGCATTAGCCACGATCCGCCAAACCCTTACTGTCGCTCCTGTCCTCTGTTCCGCTGCATCCTTTCCATGCAGTACGGCAACCCCAATGAGTATACATACGTAAGCAATAGACTACACAGCTCCCATAATCCTTTCGGCCCCCCTCCACCTCCACCTCCCCCGCCTTCCGCGCCGCCTGGATCACATTATGCGTGATGACCCTGCTATGGCTCTCCGTTATCTTGGACTCTTCGAGCTCGCATGGCACACACTCTTCGATCAGGTAGCGCAGGCGGAGCGCGACTTTGGTCACTTCGGGGGCGGCGATGGCGGAGGGCAGGCCTTCTTCGTGGAAGGAGGGCAGGACTGTTTGTTTACTTTGTCAGCAAGGGACGTGGGAGAGGGTGGAATGGGATTGAGATTGAAATTGAGACTGGGACTGGGGATCATTACGAGCGCGCGCCTCGTCGCCCCAACGGTGGTGGTCCTGGCTGAGTTTTCCTTATCAGCTGGTTCCTATTTGTTTGCGGGAGAGAGCGGACGAAGCTTACCTGCCATCCAAGCCGAGCAGTTTCTTCCATTGCACCATCTTGCTATCAATCTACAGTTGAAGTTGAAGTGAGAAAAATTCTTTGACTTTAATATTCAGCTGGCAGGCTCCGAGACATTCACGTTGGCCAGCTTATCTCCGGACTTTCCACCTCCTTGATGGTTGCAGCTTGGCGACTTCATCAGCCGCTGTAATTGGCACCGTACGTCATGGGTGCAATGCGGGCGCTTACTTGTCTGGTCTGGCAATACCTGCCTATTTGCTGTGATTGCAAAGTATCAAGATACCTAGTTCACCGGTAAATACCAATCGCATGCCAAATGTATATTGAATGAGTGGTGGCAGACTCGATCGATTCACGGGATTCAGCTCCGTAATGGTCTCTTGCCGAGGCTTAACAAGACAGCGAATAACAACAATAATAATAATACAGAATATACTGCAGTAAGATCAACTTGCATTCTATGCTACAGTCTATAAATACTATACACAGAACATTCCTTCTGTCTATTCTACTCACCGCTTTATTCCCAACTTTGCCTCCAGATCAGCAATGGCCTTTGCAGTCTTTATCTCTTCCAACCGGGCCCGCTCCATCTTCTCAGCGTCCAGCCTCTTCTGTTCCCTCGCCAATTGATCTGGTCTCCTCACCGCAATATCCTTCGGCTTGTAATCGCTAAACAGCATCTTGAGCGTCTTCTCAACCACATAGCAGCCAAGGTAATCGACAATCATGGTGATGGTCATGGTGCTCTTAAACTCCGAGCTGAACGGGACTAGACGCATTTTCTCGTTGATCTCGGGAATGAATTCCGTCGAGCAGGAGAAGGCGATGCCCGAGACGCCGAGGATACCCCAGTACATGCCACGGTTCTCGGAGAGGGACTCGCGGAACGGACGGCCTTGGTAATTGATGGCGAAGGTAGAAATTTGTTGGATGAGTTGCAGGAGGTAGACGGCGCTGTTTAGCAATGAAGGTTGGAATTCGCCCTCTAAATCAACATCTGGGTCACGTCTTGATCGAGTGTTAGCTGAGTCCATGAAGTGGGTGCAACTAAAACTTACGGAGCGAGCTTATCGCAGTATCGGGCGATGTAGATCAGAGTGACAATGTGGATTGCAAACTGGCCCAGGATCGATCCGATGATGTAGAAGTTGAAGATGTTGGGCTGAGGACGTTCCTTGGAAAGACCCTCGACCGACTTGGCTCTCGAGATTGACAAGAAGCAGACGCTCATTAGCATACCACTGATTGTGACTTGACCATCTCCAAACTTGATACCCTCGAGGTAGAGCACACTGAGACTGTAGGCACTGATCAGGCAGTTGAGAGCAAGAATCTTGTACATCTGGATGGTAGCGACCAAAGTGCATCGACCTTGTCGGATGATGTTGGGAATTGCAATAACATTGCTGAGTTTACTGGTGAATGGAGCGGCGACGGAAGCATCACCGAGCTTAATAGTTGGGGGCTCGTCTTCATCCACCTCGGCATCCATCATGCTTTGTGTCAATTTATCCGCCAGGTTAGAAGCCTTCTTCTGGCCTGCGGCTTGCGTCTGTTGGCTATCGATAAGAGCTTGAGCACCAGGCGAAGTGATAACCTCTACAGGTGCGGCCGCAGTCTCGTTGACAGCAACAGCAGTCCCCTTCTTCTCAGATTCTCGCTTGAGGGCAGCTTCGTAGTGTGGGTTCGTGGGCCCAGGAGGATACAGGTGGGCGATCAAAAGAGGCACAGGCGGGCTTGGTTGATTGAAGCGCTTCATCATACCTACTTGCTTCTCGTACAGCTCCTTCATCTTATTATTCCTATGATGCTCAGCGATTCTGTTGAGGTCGTCTTGAGATCCGTTAAGCAGAGCGACACCAATATGGGCTTGCTTCAGAGCGCCAACATCGTTTGTACCATCCCCAGCCATGAGAGTGTGGTATCCAAGATCCTTGAGCCCCATCAAAATTTCTTCCTTTTGCTTGGGGGATACACGGGCATAGACCCATGTGTATCGGTAGATTGAAGACAGTGCAATCTGATCCTTGAATTTAGCCAGAGCGTAGCCAGTGACACAGATGTCATTGTTTGCAATTATGGCAGGGTCCAAGGGCTTGGTAGGATCAACCGGAATCTCAATCAGATCGTCGATGCTTCTCCATACAAGCTTCTTACCAGAGTCATCCTTCTCTGGGGCATCAAGAATGAGGACATCTCTGTCGACGATCTCGACTTCACGGGCAACGTGGCAAGCAGTCAGAGGGTTATCGCCAGTGATCATGACAACTCTGTGGCTGCTCTCGTTCAGCATTTGGACGGATTTCTTGGCATCGTCCTTGAGAGGGCAGTGCAGAACCAGGAAACCAGCAAAATGCAGTTCAGCTTCAACCTGCTCTCGCTTCAACTCATTGATCTTACCAGATCCGACTTCTTGATCGGTTGATAGATGCTTGTAGGCAAGAGCCAGAACACGTGATCCCTTCCTGGTGAAGTACTTAAACGTCTCCTCGTAGTCTTTGGGAACTGTGACCAACATCTTCATAATAGTTTCGGGGGCTCCCTTAACACCAACGAATGTGCTCCTAATCTTCTTTCCAGTCTCTGGGTGCTGGGCAGTAATGGTAGCAACTGAACTTTGACGCTTCAGAGCAGACGAGAATTGGAAGCGACGCTTGATCTGAACACTATTGTCCGCGATAGCCTGGCCTTTGGAGATACTCATGTGCTTACTTGTAAGAGTATCGTTATTGCCAAGACTCCAACCCAGGGATGTCAAAGTAGCTTTCTCCATTGGGTCTCCGACAATGTCGCCTTCGTCCAATTTGACCAGAGCATGGGCGGTTGCCAACACAAGGGTGGTCTCAATTCCAGCTCGGAGAACCGGAGTGATGTGGCTATGGGCTCCATCATTCTCGCGTGGTGTACCAGTTCCAGAGTGGCCGAGCCCAAGGCCAGCAATTCCCTCAACGACAAGGTCTTCTCCGGTCAGTGTGCCAGTCTTGTCGAAGCAGGCGACATCAACACGGCCAGCGAAGGGAATACGGAACGGTTCGGTACAGTAGATAGCATAACGACTCAGTGCAGCAAGACTGGTGTTGACTGCAAGACTGAGTTCCATGGGAAGTTCCGGAGGCACAACACTTGTGACAATCAAGACACAGTCAAGAAGAAGCTTAGACCGTTTTCTGTCTTTCTTGACACCCTCGTCCCAAACGTACCAGGAAGCGGCGATCGCGAAGATCAAGAGGAAGAGAATGAAGAACAGAGCTTCGGCGTTATTCGCCGACACACGCTCCGTAGAGTAGATCATAGTACGTACCAAGCTACCCTGGGAAGTCTCAAACCCTGTCTTCACAACAATAGCCATGGCTCCGTTATCCGGAGGGTTTGGGACACCAGATGCCAGCTTTGGTCGCTCTTCGTCGCTGTTCCCATGGGTGATTTGAAGGACTTTGGTCCCTCCGTATAAGAACGAGTTCTTATCGAGTCCTTCTGGCTCGAGGTTGGCTTCGGATGGACGTAGCTGGACCGAGTCCTTCAAGAGGGGTGTACTTTCTCCTGAAAGCATGGCCTCGTTCACAATGGCGCTTCCCTCCACCAGCACCATATCGCATGCAACACCACTGTCATCCTTGGTACGGCCAACCGAAACAAGGTCTCCAGGAAGCAGCTTATCGCTCTGAGTCTCCTCCCACTTACCCAGTCTAAACACCCAGATATCGTAGGGTTTGATAGCCATTCCGCGGAATTCGTTCAAAGTTCGCTGACGTTGCCACACAACCGTGCTCTCGAATACGACCAGCATGAAAAGCGTGAACAGAGAGTAATACCAGTATTCGTCCAACATCCACAAGCCAACACAGAAGATCTGGAATACGAAGAAAGGCGCAACGGCATGCTCTTTGAAGAGTTCGGTGAAAGTCGGGACCGGAATATCGAAGGTGTTGTCGCCATAGTGCTGGTGGATTCTGGATAGCTCGATGGGGCTTGTAATTCCCCGGGATTTTTGGAACTCGGCGAGGAGGGGTTTGGGCTCTTTGTCGAGGGGGTACTCCAAGGGCGAGAAGGAGCCTTTGGCGGCATCGAACAGAAATCGGCGTTTCTGGAAGAGGAATGAAATGCTGGACTTGCCCCCGGCCTGCTTCAATTAGAATCTCCTGTCGACTCCGACACAGCGGACTTACGTTGTCCCGAACAATATCGCAAATATCCGCAGACCCAGCATTCGCAACCGGGATAATCTTGATGAGTTTCGCGTCGTCGACTTTAAGCGCAGAGGTGGAGGTGAAGAGCGACTTCAAGTTGACATTCCAGTGTGTGCACAGCCAGACCAAACTCTGCGCCGTGATTATGGTGCCGCACCATACAAAGGTCCATTCCTGCCCGTTGATATGCTTCTCGTATAATTCATCTGACAGGTAGAAGCGGAAGAAGATAGGCCAGATGACGGCAAATGGCCAGATGTAAGTGTGAAGGTAGAGAGGCACTGTACCAGATTAACTTCTGCGCCTGGCTGCCGGGGAATAGGGATACCAACGCGGGTTGTGCAACGTTGCGGATGCGATCAGAGGATTATCCACCAGAGCCATGTTTGCGCATGCCAATCCCAGAAATGCGCGTCTGAATGATGAGGTTTTTCGGAGACAGTATCTTTGTGAGAAAATAGGTGGCTTCCCGACGCATCTCGACGCGGCAAAGACGTCAACGTCCCGAGGCCGTGCCGGAGCTAGTCTATATCGAGCTGTTATATAGGCGAGCAAGTATGATCCGTGTTGATACAACTTTGTCCAATATCCTCGCCATGAGCTCTACTTTTTCTTTTCTTGATGTTAACTCCATTTCCAGGCTCATTTGGTATCATTCTTAGTTTAAGACTTGTGTATCTGCTCAGATTCTTGCTACTAAATTGCAGTAAGGGCGACCTATTGACTGGCAAGTAGTTGCTTTGGCTCTGGGTTTATCGGACAGAGTCCCCGTCGAAGCTCTCTCCGATGCTACAACGTATGTTGTGACTTGCTTCAAGAAAACACCTCTCGCGGGGCATCCAAAGCTTGAAGGGGTCGATGGACGTTGCCTATCATTATCCAAATGTCTTTTTCGATAAAACGTGACCCTGCCGACTCGGTTTCCCCTTATCCCACCGTGTACGTGTCCTACCGTGTAGGTGTACTTACCTATACTTACCTATCGTACCGAAATCACGGAATGGAACAACAAAATTTGGAGATGATACAATACTGTAATGTGCATCAATCGGTACTTTACTTCGAATCCGACTTGAGCCTTGCATGCCGATTCAGATCCCTAGCCAGTGACGTAGGTAACAAATTCCTCGATTACTTGGACGGACCCCCCTTTGTAATATATATTGCTAGGGCAGGGCAGGGTCGAGTCCCAAAGCAAGCAGCACACAACAATCCAGCTGAGCCTCAGCTCGACACGTGCTGGCGGACTACTTTTACATAGCTGCTGCTGCTCATTGCTTCTTCATCTAACCTTCCTTGCGGCCTATGCCTCTATGAGAAGCTGCAAGCTGCACTCACTGTCACAATTCGAGGTTCGACCTTTACACCCCGCCTGTCACCCCCCGGCTCACCATGACTACCGCGGCTCCGTCAGATGGGGGCAGCAGTGGGAAGAAGGAGGATTTGAAGGAGATGCTGAAGAACCCCTTCAATAGCATGCGCGAGAAGTTCCGAGATTCATCTCTCTATGATCTGAAAGTTGGGCTCATTCATAAGAAGTACATCACATATAACCCATGCTCGACCTGCGCGAGTTTCGCAAAGCTAACAAACATTGCCCTCCAGGCACGAACTTGGCAAATTCGCGAACCTGGTGTGTTACCTATTCTGCTTCAATTGACTCGTCCCATATCCTACTAATCGTGTCTGCCAGATCAATCCAAACCACAGACACGATGAAGAGCACGAGAAAATCACCGATGAAAAGAGGACAAAGATCGCCGAGTCCCACCGATACCAATCCTTTGCGCCCGAGAGACCCGGTAACAACATCAAGTGGTATGTCGATGGACGGGACTACTATTGGGTAAGACTAACCAAACCTGCAATCCGGAGTCTCATTTTGACGGGAACATAGGCTGTGTCTATAGCCTTAGAGAATGCGAAGGAGACAATCTACATCGAAGATTGGTGGTTGTCACCCGAACTCTTCCTGCGTCGACCGGCATACTATAATCAGGAGTGGAGACTTGATCAGATCTTAAAGCGAAAGGCAGAGGCGGGTGTCAAAATCTTTGTTATTGTCTATCGTGAAGTTGAGGTACATACCCTCGATCCAATGGCCATGCGGGTGCTAATTTTTGTGAGGCCGCTCTTACTTGCAATTCTTCACACACAAAACACGCATTGCAAGCGCTGTGTCCAAAGGGAGAAAAGGGGCATGGAAATATCGTGGTTATGCGACACCCCGATCATAACGTCCTGGAGAACGCCGCAGATATGACATTTTACTGGGCCCATCACGAGAAGTTCATTGTCATTGACTACAACACCGCCTTCATCGGAGGCTTGGATCTATGCTTTGGAAGATGGGATAATCACCAGCACCCTTTGGCTGATGTTCACCCCGGAGGCGTAGCAGACGAGATATGGCCTGGCCAGGATTTTAACAACAACCGTGTTATGGATTTTCAGACCGTCGACGACTGGAAATCCAACGAGCTATCCAAGGCCGAGTACGGCCGCATGCCTTGGCACGACGTCGCAATGGGTGTGATAGGAGACTGCGTTTATGACATTGCAGAACACTTCGTCCTGCGCTGGAATTTCGTGAAACGTGACAAGTACAAGCGAGATGGCCGATACGATTGGCTGACCCTGGAAGGCCGAGAGGGAGAGCACGAAGATCTTGTGGGTGTTCAGCGACCGAAACATCCGGTGGGAGACTACATACACCATCCAGTGACACCATTGAGTGGAAAAACTCTAGGTGATCAACAAGGCACTGTCCATGCACAGATTGTCCGCAGCAGCGCAGATTGGTCGAGCGGGATCATCCCTGAGCATAGTATCCAAAATGCATACTGCGAGTTGATCAGAAATGCTCAGCATTACGTCTACATCGAGAACCAATTTTTCATCACGGCTACAGGCGAGGAGCAAGCACCGATTAAGAATCAGATTGGCAGGGCCATTGTCGACGCGGTTGTGAGAGCTGGCAAGGAGGGCAGAAAGTTTCGCGTCATTGCCGTCATTCCATCCGTTCCTGGATTTGCAGGCGATCTCCGAGAGGACGCAGCACTTGGAACAAGAGCGATTATGGATTATCAGTACAAGTCTATTTGCCGTGGCGAGCACTCAATTTTTGAGCAGGTGAAAGCTCAAGGAATTGATCCAAAAGAGCACATATTCTTCTTTAACCTGAGATCATATGATCGATTGAACGTCACTCCAACCATGAAGAAGCAAGAAGAAGAGTCTGGTGTGAGATATCAGGATGTCCAGAGAGCGGAAGCTCAAGAAATCATGGACTCCAGCGTTCAAGACAAAACTGACGATAAAGGCCTTCGGATGAAACGTGCACTTGACCCTCGTAATGATTCCGCTTCTAGTTCCGATGCTGAGTCTGAGAAAATGGACGCCAAACGACGCTTCGAAGCAAAGGCCAAAAAGAGTGCTACCGAGAACAGGCCGACGGATAGTGTGGCACATAATGCCATGCTTAATCAGCCAAACCTTGTCGACGAGAAGTGGGAAGGCTCTCTCGAAGGCGAGGCCGAGAACTGGATCCAGGAGGAACTCTACATCCACGGCAAAGTTCTCATCGTCGACGACAAGACCGCCATCTGCGGGAGCTCTAATCTGAACGATCGCTCGCAACTAGGAATCCACGACAGTGAACTCTCCATCGTCATGACCGACACCAAAGTCCTCAACTCGACGATGAACGGGGTGCCATACGAAGCGGGCCATCACGCAGCGACACTTCGAAGATACCTTTGGAGAGAGCATCTCGGTCTCCTCCCTCCTCAAAAACATGATGGCAAAGATGACCCCAATTGCCAGCCTCCCGACGTCCCAAACGACCCCCAAACAGGCGAGACTTTCGAATTTGTAGCTGATCCTTTGGGCGATGAACTCTGGGAAATGTGGACGACGCGTGCCTCGAGGAATACCGAGATATTCCGCCAGCTGTTCCATGCTGACCCTGATGACTATGGTAAGTCCACCCCTCATGCTTGTGTTAAATATATATATATATCAAGAACAGACACGGGGCTAATGCAGCGACAGTCAAAACCTTTGAAGACTACGACAGGTTCCTGCCCCCTAAAGGCACCAAAGCAGGGCACATCTACGACAAGATGATCCCGCCTGAGGAGATCCGTCACAAGCTTGACCAGATTAAAGGTCATCTCGTCTGGATGCCGCTGGATTTCTTAAAGGATGCGAATATGGCCGAGCAGGGGCTGCAGGTCAATCAATTTACGGAGAGCATCTATACCTAGACTATGCAAACGAGCTTGGGATCTCTGATGGGAGTTTAGGTCTAGGGAATCTTAGTATTTATTTCTTGATAACTTTTAGGTTTGCACCGCGCTGGTATGGGGTGGAAATATGAGTGGCGGTAGGCAGAGAGAGTTCATCATAAGTTATTAGCGACGTCTTATACAGTGACTGGGTCTTATGCAACTCCTCCAGGCTGGTTTCTTGAAGCGACAGTCGCAAGAGAGACGCAGAACCCACCGTAACGAATTGAACGGCATTGCACCTGTGCTGTTGTCTCTCTCAACTGCATACGGGAAGTTTCGGACGCTACCATGTACTCGTGAGTGAAGTGTTAGCTCCCGCTTTGAATTCGGGATGCGCTATTATCTTCCGGTTGTGGATATCTCGCACTCTAGGCTTTACAGATGAAAACTAAAGCTAAGCAGATTCTGTTGGTTGGAGCTAGATCGAGGCCGTTCTCTTCAAGTGTTCAAACTAGGTGATCTTTGGGCTAGCGGGTCACATGATAGCGCTTGTAGCCCAATCACAAGGTAACTAATTGCATCGACGATGGCTGCGCTCTTTTTCACTATTGCAACTTCTGGAGTGAATTGGAAATCATATCTTCCACGACTAGTTCTTCTAATATTGGAATCACATTCTTATTGAAGGGATCTCTGAATCTCTTGCAACGCCCAAATCACCAAACACCAATCAACCACTATCCATGGAGAAAAGCTGTCACTATGCGTGTCAAGACCGACGCAGGAAGCGTCACCGTGGACAGCGCCGTTGAAGTGAAGACCTCCCAAATCAAAGAGTCGCAAATACAAACCTCAGATGTGCAAGGCAGTTCCTCGAACCCAATCCCTGCAACGGGTCAAAAAACCAAGCGAGAACGAGTTCGCCATGTCTGCCACCATGAGTAGGTCCTCAACCTATACCTAAGCACTTGGAAAAAAGCTTAAATATCACAGGCTCGACTGCCAATTCTGCGCAATAAATGCCTCTCGGGTTTGCCGAAACACTTCCAAGTCAAGCGCGCTCGCCAAGGATCCTCTTGAAGATTCGGTCTCATCGCTCATCGACTCTAACAAGAATCCCAAGATCTCGGTGATGGGTGCCAGATATCAAGATAGGCTCGCCCATCGATGGAGAAATATTGACCCGAAGCTTGCGCGCAAAGCTCTGCTCTGGACTATGTGTACCCTTGCTGCTCAAGCCGCTATTATCTTGTGGAGTATCTACCGCATCCACTGGTACACGAGACCATTGGAGAACCAGAAGTTTACTGGGCATTCGAGAGACACTGAGAGGATCTTAGCTTATGTATTTGCAGACTGCGTGGCTCCTGTGCTTGCTGCTTATTGGGCTTTTTATGGTCTGGAGCCTCTGTACCTGATTCTTGTTCGATTCTTCGACCTCAACCGCAAGCTCTGTGTACGAGTATCCATAGTTACTCTGTTCGCTTTGGTTGCGACCACAATAGGAATGGTACCAATCCTCTTGTGAGTCATTGATCTCACCGGTCCTGCGATGGAAACGATGTTTAGAAGCTCACGTCTAGGCAGAGTGAATCTAGGTCCTTCTCAAGCCTGGTATGACCAGATGCGAGATACTTGCCGTGGATTTGAGACAAGAGTAGAGTTTGACGACTCAAGTGTGTTTTTTTGAGAAAATTCCCTCTTTCGAAAGAAAAGCTAACGCGATTATAGACAACATTCCAGCAGAACTAATTTCTCTGTATCGACCAGGCCATCGAGATCAAGAAGTACGATACTTTGAGATCACTACAGTTACGGCCCCAGGTATCGCTTCGACTGAATCTTTCCAAAGTTTCTACCGCGTATCGCGAAGAACTTCATCGCTTACGGGTGGGTTTGTCGTCGACCTTGATCTCAAGAATAATGAATGGCGTCTACTTAACCTAACGGCCGACACACCGATATCCGCGATCCAGGCGAGCGTCGTCCAGGTACCTTTGTTGATCAGAAATGGGACCTGGTCCAACAGTTCCTTATCAAGTCCTCATGCCACCTTCCCCGAGCTCAACATCGAGGTGCTAAATGTGCATCTCTTTGACAAAGACTGCCATTTCCAGCCCTTCGTCACTGTTTTCCAAACAGAAGGGATGGCCGATGCCGAAGTCAGAAGCCAACGCCAAGAGAAGTGGACTCCAGGAGGGGCCAAGAATGTGGTGCTACGAACCGCGGACTTCGGCCACAACATGCACGGACTGGAAGCTTGTATCAAGAGCGATCTGCTGAATTTGGCCGACGGAGGGGAGGCCGAGACGGCTGCTGATGTCATGGTACCGCTGAGTCTGCTTGCCGTGTTGAGGAGCAAGATGAAGGACGATGGGCGGTATGGGGGGAAGTGTAGCCTTACTAGTTAATAGAGAAGTCTGTGATCTATTTGTATTATCAATTGTGGCTTTCTTGGTTGCTGTGGTTTTCGTGATGTGTGCATGCTGGCTTATTAACCAACTCACCAGAGGAATGTCTATTTAGCCATCTCAGTCCGATCCAGAATCAAGCCCTCATCGGCGATATACTTTATTTATCCTTGACACCTCCGCAAAGAGACCTAACCAATCATCTAACCAGTTTTGGCGCAAGGGGAAGCTAGAGATGGTATCTATGACGTCAAGTATTTACCATTCATTCTTAATTTTGACAGTTCTCTCATTTTCCCCCTTCTTCAGCTACGGGCAAAGTACAAAATACACATTAAAATCGATTATTTACAGATGCTTCGGTGACTTCTATCTGCTAAGTATGCACGGACCAGGCTCATTACTTTATAACCTCCCCCCTTCGTACAGAAATACATAAGTCCTCTGTTTTGACCACAAAACAGTTCAATCCAGATTTCTCCATCAAAATGGCCTCCCTTTTCGATAACACGCGTAATTTCTCGCTCTACACGGTAACTGCTCCACACTATATCGCAACCAATATATATACTGACTGATATCTCGCCTTGAAGATCCCCGCTGCTTGGCTCGTCGCCTTCATCCCCCACCCTTATGCCGTCTCCCTCTCCCAAAAGTTTGACAACCGCAGCCCAAGAACCTATATCAAGAGTCTCGAGAGTGATCAAACGATCGATCAAGCTGTACGCTGCAAGCATTCCCTCCCACTGCTCCCTCCCTCCCTCCACATCACCTCAAGCGGTTGACTCTTTTTTCTTTCTTTTTTCTTCTTCTGCCGCAGACCAAAGACCGCATCATCCGCGCCGAAGCCGCGCAGACCAACGGGTTCGAGAACCTCGGTCTCTATGCTGCTGCCGTCGTCGCGGGCAACGTCGCCGGACTCCCGGCGCGGACCATGAACACCCTTACCGCTGGCTATCTCGCGAGCAGGATCCTGTACAACTACATCTACATCACCAACACCACCCAAGCTGCCGCTAAGTTGCGGAGTCTGGCGTTCGTGTCTGGCGTCGGGATGATCTGGACCCTGTTCATCAAGAGCGGCAACGTTTTGAGAGAGAGAGCGGCAATTATCTTGTGAGCAAGCGTCTCCTTATCTTAGCGATAGAAGGGGTAAATTGCGTGTTCGAATAAATCAAACGTGCATCTTCAAAATCATATATCGCTTGTGGAAAGCCACCGCATGTGCTCCAATACATATTTGGTTAAGGTTTTCGATGTAGACCTATCATCCAACATTAAGGAAACATCATCGATGTACAGGTATATCATGGGTGAGCACCAATCTTCCCTCTTTCCTGGACGGACGCACGTGGAGCATTCATTCAGCCTAACAGAAATCTTCAGCCTCTCACAAAGCGTACTAACCAAAGAAGCCATTCACTCTTCGAATTCTGAAAAATGTTTCGCTATTCTCTCGTGCTCCTGATCTGTTCCACCCCATCGAGTCTACCGGACAGTATCTGTCTATTATGGCTTAGCCTCTAACCTCTCACATCCTTTTTTCCCCCTTTCTTTCCTCTCCCCTAACCTGTCCGTTCTTACCTTCGGTACGACGTGGAGATTTCGAAACCCCCAAAAACATTAATCCAAAGGAAGACAAAGTGCAAATCAAGCCCGTCGTTCGCTTCGTACCCCTCTTCCCATCCCTATCCCTACATCAATTCAAACGCACGCAAGATCCTGCCTCGAACGTCTCGAAAAAAGAAAAAAAAGCCCCAGCGGTAGATTCTTCGTTGTTGCTGACACCGCCTCGTCTAGCGCGACGAGGTAGGCACCGTAACCCAGGGGTCGAGGTGAGAACGAGGCTTGAAGGTTCACGGTTAAGCTAAGCGACAGCACCCCCCCTTTTTTTTTTCTTCACTTCATGACCCGTGAAAAGATACATAAATATATATACGTGCACTTGGGCTTCGCACTACTCTGATTTAATCCGAATGAAAATCGTTTGTCACCAGAGAGGTTTGGAGCTCTCTTTTTCTTTTTCTCTTTCTCTCTCTCACGGGGGTTGTAAAGTGAGATCGAGAGGAAGGAAGGAATAATTAAAGGGAGTGAGTGGTTGGCTCTTGTACAGTAGAGCACAGTAGAGTAGAGTAGAGTAGAGTAGAGTCCGCATACGCAGCTCAGCGCTTGGCGCGTCTCTTGGGAGTGGGTGAGTGCACTTCTTGCTTCTTCGATTTTTCGATTTTTCGATCCATTCATACATACATAGGTACACATATACAAACGGAAACTCATCCTAAAGAATGTCCGACGTAAAACTCTGGCAGCCGGCAGGCAGTTGATTGCAACGAGAACATCCCATCCTCGTGCATAGACAGAGAGATAGCCAGACAGATAGCCAGACACCTACCTACCTACCTACCTATCTAGCGCGAGCGCCTATTCCCCGTCGTAGAGGCCGGAGTAAGAGCGTCTAGGTATCCGTACTGTGAACCCCCCCTTTGGGCGAAGAAGTAGACATAGGAATAGAGGGGGTACGAGCTGATGTGGGAAGACGATCGCTACCTACCTACCGTATTCGTCTTATAATTTGCTGGCTGGGAGGCAGGTTAGAACGTACGTGCTTAGCCACTACGTTCTTCTGCCCGCCGTTTCGCGTCGGTCCTGACGTCGTGCGCTTCATTCTGATATACGGTGCGGGAGATACATAGGTACCTGACATACCGTACATACGGTACATACAGACCCCTGTTCAGCGTCGCTTCGCTTGGTGTATCCAATCACGATTACTTGCGTTGCGTTGTTTACTGATGACTGAAACACATCTAAGGAGGGAGGAAAACATCGCACGGGAGGCGGGGGAGGCGGAGAGAGAGAGGAGACGTCATGATGTTTGATGTTTTGATGTTTTGATGTTTTGATGTTTGATGTCTGATGTTTTGACGTTTGGTGTTTGAGGCTCATCGACCTTATCCGAAGTACCTGGCTGGCTAGGGAGAGGTGGAGAAATGGCAAGGTCATGTAAAAGGTGAAGGAAAAGGAAAAGGGGGGGGGGGGGGGTCGGAGGAGAGATTATATATACTATACGAGCTTCCATCCATCCATCCACACTCCGTTCGAAAAAGAGAAAAGAAGAAGAAGAAGAAGAAGAAGAAGAAGAAGAAGAAGAAGAAGAAAAAGAAAAAGAAAAACACAACCTCGTCTCAATCAGATCAGACCAGATCAAATCCGAACGCCTTTATCTATCAGTCAACACGAACGGACTCACCATGTGCTGCAAAAACAGCAACAGCAACAGCAACAGGCAACAAATGCGTGAAGCCCGCCGTCACGCCCGCGGACCACCTTGCAGCCGCCGATCCCATAGCCACGCCGTCGTCGTCGTCGACCAACCCGCTCCCTCTGCACCAGTAGTCTTCTCCCGGTTCCAGCGCCGCCAGCCTGTGGCTCGAGCTGCCGTCGGCAATGATCAGATGCTCGTACACGTACAGCACCTCAACCAGAGCCGCCATGCGGCTCATCAGCAGCAAGCCGCCTACAACGCTCCTGTGCAAGCTGCTTTGGAACCGACGCGCCAGAGCCGCCGCTCCTCGGGTGCGGCGGGTGCGGCGGGCTCAAAGGAGGAAAGAGAGCGGGAGAGGGAGAGGGAGAGGGAATTGGCGTATGCTGCGAGATGGAAGAGTGAGAAGAAGCGAGAGCCGATGCAGATGAGGAGGGAGATGAGGGGGGAGAGAATGGACGATGGCCTGCCGCCGAGTTATGCGGAGGTTATGAAGCAGCAGCAGCAGCAGCAGGCTTAAGCGGATGAAGGGCAAGAGGATGCGAAGAAGAGCTAAGCGGGGAGATTAAATCAAGAAAAAGCGTAGGATCGAACTTGGGGATTCTGGGATGGGATGGGATGGCGGGAAAGAAAGAAGGCGGTGCGTGATAGCTGGCCGCTGTCGTGGGGTGATTGACTTTGCGTGGTTCGAATTATAACCAACCATCGCTAGGACTCTCCCTCGCAGATGCGTGAGATGTCTTTTCGAAATCGAGTCCTCTTAGCAACACCCTAATAATTTTTCAACCTGTTCTCGGGTAGGAAGTGCAGCCATTTTTTGTTGTGTATACACTGACTGGTATACAAGTAATTCTCGAACATGTACCAGTAAACAAGTAAAGCAGAGCTACCTAGTCACCTCCCAAACTCGTCTCCAGGACCCGGACGCAATGATAACAGGGAGGAAATACCCAACAAGATCCAGCTAGCCATATCACAACTCTAGAACGAACGCTAAAAATAACAAGACCGAAAAAGGAAAAAGAAGAAAGAAATGGCTCTTCGATCCTGTCCACCAGCCAGCAAAACAAACCCTTCAGAACTCCATAACTCAATCTAAAAAGTCAAAAAAAAAAAAAAAAAAAAAAAAATTACATTTCATCCATATCTAAACCCATCGCGAACGGACTTTTAACCCTAAATTCACCTGACCCAAGGAACCTGCCTGCCCTCGTTTACCTTCCAGCAACCCAATCAGACAGCCGCCTTAAACGCAAAAATACTACGTAAATCCCCAAAAACTCCGACGAAAGACAAAAACGTCAAACCTCCGAAAGAGACTTCTCCTTCTTTTCCTTCCTATCCATCCTCATTCCCCATGCCGGGATCGGAACGCGCCGTGGTACGTACGTAGTACGTACAGGCACCTCCAACTGCCACAGTGAGTGATGCGTCAGCTCTCATCCCGCACCAGAACTATCCACGTAGGAAGTACATTTCACAGCTGAAACGGTCTGAAACCAGGGACTCTGAAAGGCGGGTTAAGAAAAGAATTATATATATATATATATGTGAATATATGTGCATATACCCCGTTTGATGACAGGAAGTAGCTGCTGATAAGGGCAAGACGATTTTCATCTTCCACCTGATTGATTTGTTTGATACCTAGAGTTGATTAGGGCAGAGATGTAGAAACTTGGCTTTTTCGCTTAACGTTAGGAGAAGAAGTCTTGCCAAAAAAGAAAAAAAAAAAAAANAAAAAAAGAGGGCGAC